CAGAAAACTCGACTTGGGTACCTCTCACCTAGTCCCACTTACCTGCTGTATATCGGTCACCTTGACCTTGACTGAAGAAGAAACCACGGGTGATTGAAAAACCGTCTTGACCGGCTTTCAATACAAAACTCGGACAACTGTTTCGATCTGGGGCTACTGTTGTGGTTGACTTACCTACCTACACAATGGCGAGTGTGGTGCTCTTGTGGTTGTGTCAGGTGATGAGGTTGTGTGTGTGTGGGGGGGGGGGGCAATTTGCGACTCTATCCCCCCAAGTGGCGCGGTGACGTCACGGAGCACAAATAATCACGGTGCGATAATTAGCTACAAGTGGAGATAACTAACTATCCAAATAATGTCATGCGTCATGGAGTCCCCCGATACTGAAGGTATGAATGATCGCCCCTTTTTACCCATAGTCATCGCCCCTTACCGAGTGACAAATTGAAATGACCATAAAGTGGTTTCCCACCCCTATTGAGAACCTTCCCCGGCGTGGGGAACGGTATGAATAGCTGACCACTGGTCAGGATCTTGATACACCAGTGGTCTGTTGACTGACCGGTCTGACGGCAGTGGGAGAGAAAAGGGGGGGGGGAGGTTTGAATGGAACGTGATCATGCTAGCCATGATGTGCCGGATATCACGGCAGCGTTGGTCATTTTTCACCTGGCGTCGAGCTTCATTGACTTGTGTTAACCTATTTTGGTTACCTGGCTAAGATAGGTTCGAAGGTCAAAACTCGTTTCCAACTGTTATTTTTAAAATCTATAACAGTATATCAGAATATACATTAAAACAATAAATAGGCGAATACTATATTTAATAAACTTGGACTATCAAGGTAAAGTCAAGAAACATACTCTACTTCATCTGCCCAATGTATCGCTAGGTCTAAAGAGGAACTTTACTTACCTTGATGAATTTAGACTCGGCCATATGAACTCTCGTGAACTAAAGGGAACATAGTATATATTGAAATACTTATTTTTATGTATTGGATTATAACAAAGATATATCTATTTGTCAAGGTTCGCGCATACGTTTTTAATAATATTTTTTACTTTTGTATTTAATATCTAAAATAGAAAAAAAAAACATCAATATTTGTCGTATAGTTGATTTCCACGAATAAATGTTATGTCGTGTAGTTGATTTCCACGAATAAATGTTTTGTCGTGTAGGTGATTGAAACCTTTTATTGTTGCGTCCCTTGCAAGGTGACCAAGACAAGCTTCTACCTCAGTTTTACAAGACCCAGCTCGATGTTTGCCATTGTTAGTTGATACCTCCGTCAAAGAACCCCCCCCCCTCCCTGGTGGTGAAATGTGCGAAGCAACATCTGGAAGGCGTGTTGGGGTACGCGATCGCCACCGAGCGTGGGTTCGAAACCCGAGGTGACAACTGGAGCAAAATACTCTTTTGTGTGTAATGAAGTGTGAACGAAAACAGTTGAAGAAGCGCCCTGCCCCATCGCATTGTTCCTCAACACTTTCAGTCCGGTGTCATCCCCCCCCCCTCCTCTCCCTCCAGCTGTGGTGTCGTTGGTCATTCATAGACCGCGGGTCAACAGTTAATTCAAAGTGATCCGAGTTGATAGCTGGAGTGATCACTTCTTTAAGAAACATTCACAAATGTTAAGAAAATCTTTTTTTTTACTGTCGTGGTCAATGGCGTGGAGATAGAGAACGTCTTTATTCTCATGGTGGTTTAGTAGTCCTTGTTTTGTCATTGACATTCAGGGGAGAGCATCGTTCATTAACTTTCAGGGGAGCTTATCTATCATTAGTTTCAGGGGGAGATAATCAATCATTAGATTTCAGGGGAGATAATTCTTTCAACTATCATAGGAGATCATCATCCAATAAAGCACAGGGGAGGTCACCATTCATTCACTCACGCACAGATGCTGTAGACCGAAAACTCTATCAACTATCAAATCAAATCATATTGCTGACATATAAATAAATCGATTCGGGTTATTGATTGATTGTTCTGTATTCAGGGATTAAGAAGGATATCGGGGTTCGGTCAGTGCTAGGACTTTATTGAAAAAAAAAATAGCGTGCCTTACCTGCAAACATTCTATAATACACAAAGGGATACACATATACATGTAGATACACACATATTATTCATAATTATAAAAAAAAACTAGATAAATTGCCCGTAGAGGGAGAAGTACAAAGGGCGCTAGATTGATAGTCTTATTCTCTAAACCGAAACCAAAACCCAAATTCTCACCTGAACCTTATATTAAACCGAAAACAAAAAATACCCAATATATATAATCCTACACATATGTACGTGGAGTGACGAGAAAACATACAGGTGTCGTCCCAGAATTCCAGCCACACCTGAGTTATTCTCCCTCTACCTAGCAGGCATCCCTCCCCGGGGTGAACAATGGCTCGTTAGAGAGGTTTGTACCTGTCCACACCTGTCACTCTCAGTGCTCCAGAACCCTGGTCTCTGTACCCTGTCGTCAAGCTGGTCCCGGGGATGGTAGAGAATGGGGGGTCGTTTATGTGGAGTCGCTGCTCATGGGTGTGAATCGGGTGGTTAGTATCTAATCTCCTGGCGGAGAGTTGGGGTAAAGGGGTGAATGAAGGTATCGACAATAGGTAGTTAGGCTATACCTGCTGATCCTACCAAGGTTGTCTTGGGGTTGTTAGTGGTTTCTTGTTGCCGCAACCCGGGGATTATCTTTGGGCTGTATTTAGTTTAATAGACTATTAATTTACATTATCTCCATAGGTTAAAAGTCGCGTTAAAATTCACCATTTAATAGACTATTAATTTACATTATCTGCATAGGTTAAACATCGCGTTAAAATGAACTGTATACAATCGTTGTCTCAATTTGAACATCTTGTTATATTACTAGTTAAATGGGCTAGTTTATATTTTCACCTTTTTGAGAGTTCCTAATAATTTGCGTTGTCGTTTGAACTAATTATTGTAATTATTTCATATTCTTCTTAATAATAGTTATAGAAGTATTCAAATGAGTTTACATTGTCTAAAATGTGGGTGTTTTTTATTCAAATTTTTTTTTCTTTGTTGTTCAGACTTCTTAGCTAATTGTATTTTAATATCATCTTTTTATAACCTTTTACTTTATCCATTGTTCAACGATCGAACTAACTTGCCATTAATTGAAATCCGAGTGTTTTCACACTAAAGACAAGAGTGTTAACGATCGAACTAACTTGCCATTAATTGAAATCCGAGTGTTTTCACACTAAAGACAAGAGTGTCGATTTTACCAAACTTGCTACCTCACAATTTTGTTTTACGGCTTTCCGACATGGCGGCCGTATATATCTTCCCATTTGGCTGTCGGCTCTTTGTCTATCGGCACTTTGACTACAGATCTAGACGTATCTATAGCGTTAATCCTACTAATCTTAAACTTATCTCTAACTCATCTTTCACTGTCTATAGACTATTCGCTCTCCTATAAACACACAAACACATGGATTTGATTACATTTCCTGTGATCCTAATTTCACTTCAGCGATTCTCAACCCATGTCTATCTAGGTACCCCATATATTTCTTATTTTAAAACCACGAACCCTTTATTCCAAAATGAGTTTCATTATGTGTAGTAAAAGTACCTTTACGTCTAGCCGTATATATTTATACAATACTGTACTAATAATAACAGTGAAAATGTATTTCAACCTTAATTGAAAAAAAAACAGCTCATAGTTCATGAATATACAATTTACAAAATCATTACAACAAATAGATTTAACATAATAATGATAATATGTAGGCCTAACAGAGAAGACCTTCAAAAGTATAAACCAGGTCCCCTGAAGACCCCCCCCCCCCATTTAAGAACCCCTGGTTTACACATAGCTAATCAGGTTAGAGCAATGACTCGGTCAATACCGGCTGTCTTTCATCTGAGAGGGTCCCAGATCTCACTCTCACCCCCCCCCCCACTCCCCCCCACCCCTGACGTCAGGTCGTTATCTTAAGCTCGGGTCTTAAGATTGTTTTCACGTCGTTTCCAGATCGCGGCCAGATTTCCTTGAAACAATGGCTGATAGGGGGGGGGGGGGGGCTAGGGAGGGAGGGGGAGGGGTTCCAGGGAGGGAGGGGGAGGGGTTCCATGTTGTTTTGATGTCGCCGACGAAGGTTGACGTGATCTTTGTCTTCTCCATTCTAAGGTGACGGTTGCTTCATGCTTCATGTTAAAAAAAAATCACGTTAATGAGAAACCACTTTTCCGTTATAAAGTACCAAGTTATTTTGTCATTAGTCATGTTTGTTTTTGGTAAGAAGGTTCGGGTTTATGATTAGATTATGGTATGTCGGCTGGTTGTTAAGGTTAGGGTTTGAAGGAGTTGTGAGATTGTAGCGCCCTATAATGAAAAAAGATATTTATATACACACATTGACATATATATATATATATATATATATATATATATATATATATATATATATATATATATATATATATATATATATATAATGAAAAGCTGAAATAAAATATCAGTAGGCCTATAGTTTCACGACTTAAAACTTTTTTCTTTTTTCAAAGAATTCTGTTTTTGTAAAGCTCCATCCGATGCCAACTCTATCTATTTGCAGCTTTATAGAAAGCTTCTTGTTTCGCTACGGTCCCAAACAAGCCTTGCTTATTAGGGTCCGTCCATCCCCAGGGGTTCCCCTCCAACCCCACCAGGGGGGTGATACGCTCGTCTCGGCTGACTCGAGTCGTCTGCCTCTCCTCGCGCGCGGCAACTCAGCCGTCACGCATCGCTCGCTCCCCGCGCTCTCCCCCTGCGGTGGGAGGGAGCCCCATCGACCAATGATCTCTCTCCGTCAACTCCCTGCCCCCACCCCCCTACCTTTTCGGACAGGTATAATGAGAACAATTAAAAAAAAAAAAAAGCTAAGCCCCTCCCACGTGACGAGACACGATTAACAGATAGTCTCTGTCGTTCAGATACCTCACTCGTCCCCGTGTTCATTCCGTGGTCGGCGGTGTATCTCATCAGACGCTAACCTTACCTATCCTACAATACCTGACTGTACTCGGTGACCTTTTCTTTGAAGATCCCTCATGAGACTTAAGGATTAAATTCTCCACGCGGAACCTGTTTTTAACTACACGCTGGTATGTTTGAAGATTTTTTTTTTTTAAAAGACATCAACCTAGTGATCGATTGTGTTGTTTATTGATCTTTGTGACGTGGAGTTCGATCAGTTCGATTAACTGTGATTTATTGGTTGACTGATCAGGATTTACAGACTCGATATCTTCAAGTGATTCGATGAGCTGGATGTATAGAAGTCTATTCGCCTGTATCTTTTATTCTCGACACAAGTCTCTTCTGCTATACAGTCGGAGTGTTCTTAATAACTCTTTCACATATTCGTATAGGAGAATATATGTGTAGTATTGTGTAGCGTTGAATAAAAACGGTGATCTTGATGTAAGACCAGGTGTCAGTCATAATAAACATAGCCGTGTGTTTTATCTTAACACAGTTCACTAGTGTGTAGTTTGATGTGTAGCTACAGTTCTTGTGACTAGGTTTTAAATCGACACGTCGCTTCGCTTAGTGTATCTGCTCGTAAACTCATAAACAAAGAGGGGTAACTAGGGGGTGCGATAGGGGGTGTCCGCTACAACTTTAATTTTAATTTAACTATACTGCTGGTAATAACTCTGGTAGAAGCAAATCAAAAGCTTGATAGGTAAACAAAATTGTGGCAAAAAAAACGCTTTTACTGTCTTTGTAATTCAATATAGTAAAATGAATTTTAAAATTGTAAATTGTCACACTGGATCTTCAACTTAATGATTAGAACAATCATTTATGTTATTTAAGTGTAAGTTCAGTGTACTGAGTAGACAACTACCTAGCTGTTGTATCAATTCCGTGTAGTTTTCTCATTTCTTAAACTCAGGTTGAACTCTTCTTCACTCGCCTATGGACCGTCAGGTTCGAAAAGGCAACTTTAATTAACTTTACACTCGGGTTTGTTCTTATTTTAGCGAATGGCTCTAATCTTAACCTTTACTTATCTTTAACTCTTTATCGTTAATGATATAAAATGTTATATCGGAATATATTAATTCTAAAATGTGAGGTCCACTTCCATTATACACACCGCGGTAAAGTTAACATTTTATAATTAAGGCTAGGGTTACAAATTGGTTAGAGTTGATTTTGTTTCGATACTGGTGTGCGAATATCGATACTGTCTTTAAGCTCTTTGATCATGCCGTGTGTCGCGTTATATGAATTGTTTATTATTTGTATTTAATTCTTCAATTCATCAACACAGACCAATCACATTGTATCGATCAGCAATACACCCCCCTCCCCCACAGCAACCAACACAAATAGTGGACTATTGATCTTTAATACACCCATTCCAAACAACCAGCACTAATCATGATTTATCGATTTTAAATAAATACCACCCCCACCCTCACCCATAAACACATGTAATGAGTGTCCTGTGTCTATCAAAATAAAAACCAATCAAAAAATATATCGATTACCCTCCCAATCCTGTTTATTGATGAGCTTCCAGAAAAACCGGTGCCATCACGTGACTGACATCCTTGTTTCTGGTCCCCCCCCAGGTCTTCTACAAGACACGTGACCTTCACCCAGGGGATGAGATGCTGCTTTATGCCAGAGAGGCAGGTTACCCTGATCTGGAACTAGAGAAGTTGGCCAGGCACGGTCTCACAGGTAAGTCGCTCAATACCTGTATCTGTGGGGGTAGACAGAGGATCTTTAGGGACAGGTAGAGGATCTCTATCTGAAGGGTTATACAGAGGATCTTTAAGGACAGGTAGATGATCTTTATCTGAAGGGTTATACAGAGGATCTTTAGAAACAGGTAGATGATCTTTATCTGAAGGGTTATATAGAGGATCTTTAGGGACAGGTAGATGATCTTTATCTGAAGGGTTATACAGAGGATCTTTAGGGACAGGTAGAAGATCTTTATCTGAACGGTTATACAGAGGATCTTTAGGGACAGGTAGAAGATCTTTATCTGAAGGGTTATACAGAGGATCTTTGGGGACAGGTAGAAGATCTTTATCTGAAGGGCTATACAGGGGATCTTTATCTGAAAAGTTGTAAGAAGATTCTTCGGATTAGTCAAAAGATCTTTAGGGGTAGAAATACGATCTGTAGGAAAAGACAGAAGATCTTTATAGTCGACATATCTTCACTGAAGACAAATGATCTTTACCTGAAGGGTTTTACAGAAGAGCCATAGAGGTAGATAGAAGACCTGTATCTTTAGGGTACTGTGGGATACGCAAAAGATCTTCTATTGTATACAAATCTTAAGCTGTAAGGATATACATTAGGTCTTTAGCGGTAAACTTCGTTTTGTTTAAAGCGTGTTATAATCAAACTTATTAAAAAATTCCTAAGATTTTTTAATCTTGGGACTCCGCTAAAGCGAGGAATAACTACAAAAAAATCACATTGAATTCAAATGAAGTGGTAATCTTTCGGACACTTCGTTATGAACATTTTTTTAAACGTCTTTGTTGTTCGCCTATTAGCATAGTTTTAGCCACGCTCGTTGTTGTCTTATTCGCACAGCCAAGCGTCAAAGAGGTAACGAAATATTTTAATTAGCCCCAAGTTCCACGCTAACCCTGACCTCTAGCGGCGCACCGAAAGGCTTGGTGGTGGCTGTTGTTGTGCTCTTGGACGCGGTGCACGATTGCACGCCACGGTGTGCTTTGTTGAATAAGCTCCCAGATAAGTAGCGCACCGTTGGACGATTGTCCATGAGCTTAACACGACTAATCACTCTTTGTTCCAAGAGTAGCGTTTATCCTGAAGGGGGGTGGTAGAAGAGTCCCTTGGAGGGCGCGGGGGGTTCCACTTTGTAACATGTTGAGCTGTTGTTCGACGCCCTGGTATCAGAAAGCGCGGCTCCCCAGTTGTTAGACTACCTATAATACATTCAGAAAAATCATATCAAATCTCATAAATCGCATGGGATTATCTCCATATAAGCGCCGTTTCTTACACCGAACACGTGGCCTTGTAACAAAGCACCGGATTGGTTCATCTCGTTCAGCTACGTCACAATGGCGTCACGAGTCTTTTTTTCCCCCCACCGTCGACCCCCACCCCTCTCTACAATTGTATCTATCTTCATTCAATGGAGTAGACTATCACTGAGAACATAGATCCTTATTGTCAGGGGTCGCCTTTAGATTAAGTCCCCCACCCGCTTCGATCCGCGGTTATCGATGTGTTTCAGGAGATTAAAGCTTGGCGCGTTGTTGAGCAGATTTCAACTACTAAGCGAATCACTTAATATCTTTTGGGGTTAGTGGAGGGAAATAAATTGATCTTAGCTTAAGACGTCCTTAAACTTTTCGCGGATGTTTTGTGCTTAAATCCTCCGTTTATGGCGCTGTTATGTTGTATAGCTGTGTTGCCGTCGTGTTACATTGGTGTGTTAGTAATGTAGGAGTGTGACAATGTGGTGACAGTTATTGTGACAGTATTGTGACAGTATTGTGACAATATTGTGACAGTATTGTGACAGTATTGTGACAGTATTGTGCAAGTATTGTGAAAGTATTGTGACAGTATTGTGACAGTATTGTGACAGTATTGTGACAGTATTGTGACAGTATAGTGACAGTATTGTGGCGGTATTGTGACAGTGATGTGACAATGTCATAGTTGCTACATAAGCACATTGTTGCTGAACAGTTACTGTTACACTTACTTCTATGATAACTGAGGACAATATCAACAGCAACAAAAAAGACACTTGCGTTTTCGCCTGGTTGGTATATTACATTTACGTTCATGATATTTTAGAACCGATACTTTTAACTTGTAAATAAAACGACGGTCTCATGGAGAAGAAAATACAATAAAATATCGTCAAATAACGGACGAACATTTAATCACACAGCGAAATCTATGTGGGGAGTAGGATCAAAGGGGGAGCATCGAATACGCCCAATAGTTCATTTTCCCTCTTAGTTACAATATGGTTTTGTGGTTCATGAACGCCGAGACTACCCTGTGTAATATCCACATATTTATACGCTTGTATACTCTGCATCATAGATACATATTTGTACGCTGTTTTTTTTCTCAGGAACATACATATTTGTACGATACATACGAAATTTATTTTTTTAACCAACCCATCTTAAAAAGTATCGATTTTGTGAGAAGTAAGTGGGGGTGGGGGTAAGGAGGAGAGACTACCACACTTATAGATATAGAGAAGAAAATCCCCCCCCCCCCCACGGGTGTGATCCGCCCCACCCAATGAGCCGATCTTTAATTCCCTCCCATCTGTGCCACGGGGCGATGAAACCCACCACCACTCGGACCCCGGGGGGAGGCGGGTACCCCAGCGGCGGCGCCCACCAAACACCGCGCCCCGAGTACTCAGACAAGAAATTAAAATATCAACCGTTAATCCAATCCATGTTTCAAAAGCCCGCGGCGAAGTGTCTCAACAAAAGCGCAGCCTCCAACACCGTGCGAGCTTAATCGCTCGACGGATTGTTGAAACTATACGTTTTTTTTATACGTTTTGTTGTAGGTATTGTACTTGTATAAAAGAACATCACGTGCATGTATAAGGCATTGCTTGCGTCGGATTACTTTTGCACTGAGTGTACTGTATATTGGGTAATAGTATGCGTTAGGTAATTTTTATTTGTTGTATCGTATAACATGATACTTAAAAGACGCAGTGATTAAGTAAACACGTCTTGTTTAACTAAATGATACAACGTCGGGATTTTAATTCTGATAAGACTTTAAGAAAACTGACAGGATATATATATATATATATATATATATATATATATATATATATATATATATATATATATATATATATATATATATATATATATATATATATATATATATATATATATATATATATATATATATATATATATATATATATATATATATATATATATATATATATATAGGTATGGGTAAAAGGGGCGGGGGGGGGGGGGACACAAGTAGTTGAAAGATGTGGGGTGAACTTTAATCATGATCGATTCAAGTCGTGTTGAATATAAGTGTTAAAACGGTGAGTTCAATTTTAAAATTAATCCGCCGTGACGTCATCAAGTCAGAAACAAGGGGACCACGGAGTCCCAGACTTCTAAGTCATGCTAGTCGACTATTTAAAAAAAAATAAGCCAACAATACTCACACACAGTACCCCCCACACACACACACATACACACATACCCACTACAGCTCCTCTATGACAATCTTAGAATCCATCCGCGCCATGCCCCCTGCGCGTCTAACAAAGAATTTTTATTGAACATTTTAAAAAGGGATGATGACGCCGACAAAAGAATAATATCGATTTTTGATCACCACGGGATGGCAGGTGGGGATCGATATATGGGTATTGATTGTCGGAAATTTTTGTTAAAACAAGTTTTGAAAAAAAAAATTTAGTTTGTCTAGCGGTTGGGGGGATGTGTTGGTTACACACGGAAGACAAACCGTGAAGCATGCTGGGAGATTATTGAATGTCTGTCTGTGTACACAGGGCTGTGTCTGCCTGGGTTCTTCCTATTGTGGGTAGTCTGTCTCTCGGTGGCCAACATTGTACCCGTGAGTGGATTTCATTGACGAAAACACGATCGGTAAAGATGGCAATAGTTCCATGTTTGGCGTCATTATCGGACATCGGAAAAGATGGTCTTTATTCCATGTTCGGCGTCATTATCTTACTGCAATGTTCCCAGGTTTAGAGTCATATTTCTCAATCAACCGAACAAAGCCCGCAATTCCCCTAGGTTTGAGTCACATCATACATCAGCAAAATCCGCCATGATTCCATGTATGTTGTCTAACCACCCAGTCAAAGTATTTTAATTAAAAAATATTTCTTTGATATCGCTGGTGCCATTTTGTATTTGGTCTACGTCGATCTCTCTGTTTTTGTTCACGTCCTGACGTCTCGTCCATCGGACAAAAGACAAACGTCCTTTGTTTCTTGATATTGCCTCTTTCTCTTATCCCCAACATTGCTACCTTCTCTGCTTCTCTTATCCAGATATTGCTTCCTTCTCTTATTCCCGACTTTTCCTTCTTTGCTTTACCTCCTCTCATTACCTCCTCTCTGCCCCTCTTATTCCCTTCATTGCCTTCTTCACTGCCTGTCTAACTCCTGACACTGCCGCCCCCCCTACTCCTGACACTCCCCCCCCCCCTTACTCCTGACATTGCCGCCTCCCTTACTCTTGATATGACCGCACCCCTATTCCTGACATTGCTGCCTCTCCCCCCCCCCCCTTACTCCTGACATTGCTGCCTTCCCCCCCTCCCCTAACTCCTGACACTGCCGCCTCCCCTTACTCCTGACATGACCGCCCCCCCCCCCTTACGCTTGACATTGCCGCCTCTCCCCTACTCCTGACATTGCTGCCTCCCCCCCCTACTCCTGACATTGTCTTATAATGTCGCTCCATCTCCCTCCACTGTTCCATCCCGCTGCCTTGGACAATCACCAGCAGAGATCGATATTGCTGTCTTCATTGATCGGACCGTTCGACAGGTTATGTTTATAAAGACTTCAACAATGCTCTCAGTCACTATGATCCATGTCTTTTGTTGGTTTTGATCCTACGATCTTTTTACGCCTTGGAGGCTGGTTTTTTTTATTTTAAGAATATATAATCCCATTTTTCATAAACCCA